CCCCCCCCCAATGAACGTCTTTTGGAAAGACACTGTTGTGTATATATGTATGCATGTATGTAGGTAGTATGTAAGTGGTAGTATGTACAGTGATTAAAAGGAAGTCTATAAACAGAATCGAATGCTGGATGGATGCAGACGGCGGTCAGTACCGCGAATAAGGCGGCGGAGGCTCGGCTGGTACCCCGGCGGCTGACGGTTGAGTAGCAGCGGTAGTAGGGGCTTGCTCTCCCGCTCGCTCACTGCCGTCTCGGCTCTGGCCCTGGCCCTCCTCGCCCTCGCGACCGACCGGCTGCAGCTCATGCGTGCTCTCCTCGCCCGCCCCGGCCCCGACAGCCTGCTTGTCCTTGCGCTTCTTCGTCCGCTTCTGTCGCCGACGGTAGATGCAGATCCCGGCCACGGCCAGCAGCATCGAGGCGCCGAGGCCCACGCCCACGCCGATCCCAATGTTCCGGGCCAGCGCGGACTTCTTCTGCGGCGCTGAGTTGCAGTGCGCGTGCACGAAGCTTGCGTTGGATGGGAGGACTTTGTCGCAGTTCAGGTGGCGCGTGCTGTCGACGGAGAACTTGTTGACTTGTTTTAAGGAGGAGAAGTCCGTGCTGTGTTGGTTAGTATGCTGTGCATTGTCTGGAGAGGGGCCGAAGAGGAGAAGAGGCGCCGGGAAGAGGGGAAGAAGGGAAGAGAAAAAAAAGGGGTAAAGGGTAGCTACCTGCTGATGGCGCCGATGAGAGTGATGTCGTCAGCGACCTGCAGCGACGACAGATTAACTGCTAGCGGGTACCAGGCTTCGAGTGCGATGTCGCCGGTTGCGTTTTTCAGAGATGGGGCCGATATACTGCGGCTGTTAGATCGATAGAGAGTGAGTCGGAAAGAACACACAATACCTGTCGAATGCGCCACGCAGCGAGAGGGTCCCGTTGAGGAAGTTCAGGGCGGGCACGGAGAAGTTGAGGAGTTGCGACGAGTGCACGGCCAGGCCGGCGCTGTAGTCGCCGTAGCCGGTGGTTTGCGCTTGGCTGATGTTGCCGGCGGAGGCGAGCACGGGTAAAGACAGACTGCGAGTGTCAGATGAGCGGAGTTGATGGGATGAGTGCAGGGAAATGGAAAGGAACGCACCTGGAGATATTCCCGCCCACCGAGAGGCTGGCCGCCCCCCGCAGCGCGGGCAGGTCGATGTGCATCTGCGAACTCGACCGCTTGTCGCAGCCGGCCTCGCCGCAGATCGACGAGCCCGTCGTGATCTGCTCCAGGCTGGAGAGATTGGCACTACACGCAGGTTACAAGCTGTTCAATGGCCATCATCCGGCAGGGAGACCCACTTGATACTGCTCCCGGACAGGTCCAGGTAGCTCACATTGCGCAGATTCGGGATCGACACGGTGATCGGGCTGCGGCCCTCAATGGTGATGAAAACCGCCGTCTCTAGCCGCGGCAGCGAGATTGACTGGAGGGACGAAGGGTAGGTGAACTCCGCGCCATAGATGGTCACGAGGTCCGGGGCTTCAAGCGACGTCAGACCGGTCGTGCTGTTGAGCACGGAGATACTCGAGGTGAGATTGGTCAGGTTGTGCATGATAAACGAGCCCGTGTAATTGGAGCCCACCACCAAGTCCCCGTACAACCTGGTGCAGTTGCGCGTCAAGGCATCCAGCTGGTCCTGGCTGTAGATCACGATGCCCTGCCCGTATTCGTCCTCTTGGGCATTGCAGTCTTGCGCGGAGATGACTAATTCAACCGTCAATCATGTGACTTCTGACCAGGCAGACAGAAAGAAAAAAAAAACACGTGGGTCATCCATACGGTTCACCAAACCTACGGCCACCACCACCACGAGGGTGGGCAGCAGATTCATTCTTCGGACAACACGGTGGAAATTGGTTTCACCCACAATGGATGAACACACTGCTGTGTAAATCAATCGATGCAGTGAATGTCAGTGGTGACTTGTTTCACTAAGAAAAAGTTCGAGATCGCGGGTTTTTTGACGCGCGGCTCGAAGGGGGGGCAGGCAGAGTGGTTTGCCAGACCCTTTATGTCTGCCTAGGCTTGAAGGAACTCAGGGAGGCGTTTCAATTTTCGAGCCACTTTGATTGCCAAGCGGGGCGGCAGGCGACAAGAACATCCTCTCTTAGGTTTAGTCGGTGCAGATTCACTGTGGCGCAGTGCATCTGACTGGTCAGGGGAAGGGTTTGTCTGGTGGGGAGTGGACTCTTATCGCTCGGCTACAAGTTTGTGATTCCAATAGTCTCGCCGTGCTTAATCCCTTTTCAGTATTTCCCCCCCTCCTCGTGGTTCCCCTTGCGCTTCCCGCAGGGCTGAACAAAATAAAACCTTATCGAGGGGAAGGGGTCCAATGTTTTTGATTCCTGAGTCTGACAACGGTGACATCTGGACAGTTGAAACGGGGAGGTATCTGGGATGGCGGATGTGGCTGAATTTTCGGACTTAAATACCGGATGCAGGTGCTGGTGATATCATTGGGAGACCTCCTCATCGACTGCGAGCAATTCAATTTACCCTGGCTTCAATATACTATATCTAATCACTTCCTTCGCTCGGTCGGAACCATGCGACTTTAAAATTACTTGATCCAAGCTAACACTAGTCACCTCCACTCACTTCCACTTCCGAACCATCTCCGCCCTACTACATAGCTCCACTCAACATGCACATGCAAGCAGCAATCACCTGGCCCCCCAACTTCCAACCAGGCAAAACCGACAAATTCGTCTCGAACGAGATCTACATCCGCGACACGACCCTCGCACGCATCTGGGTGTACCTCTCGACCATCACAAAACGGGAAACCTACTACGACAATGTGAGCCAGATCACGGGCGCCGGCCTCGGGCCCTACGCTGCGCGGAGGCGACCGGTTCCAGTTCTCAACCTTCGGGTTCCCGCCGCTGCAGGCAGAGGTGTGCGAGTCCGTCCCGCCGACGGATACCGTGCCCGGCCGGCTCGCGTGGCGCGCCTGGCAGGACGGCGATGATGACTCCGCGTCCAAGATCTACCATGCTTGGATCGTGGAGAAGGTGCCGTGGGGAAGGGGTGTTGTCCGCGTGCTGACGCAGGAGTCGCAGATTGGTAAGCCTGCTGCGCTGTTGGCGGGTCAGAAGCCGAATCCCATGTTGAATGGGTATCAGGCGTGGTTGGGGTTGCGAGGTCGGGTTAATTTGGGGCTTGGGGAGCGGGCGTGGGTTGGTCAGTGGGGGTCACTAATCTTTGGAGCAACGTTGGTCGAGCGTTGTCTGCGATTGGGTCTATGCTATAATGATTTCCGAGTGTTTGAGTGTAATGTGTAATAATAATCAGATACTATCGCTCATGTAATTGCATCTTGCGTCCTGATGAAAGCTCGATCTAAACGACCTCATGAACGTGATCTTTCCATTGCGTATATAAACAGCCCACGATATCGCTCTAAGAATCTACCAAAAGCACACCACAATACCACACCCTGCACTGACAGCCTAAGGCCGATCCTCGCGCACCATAGTCCGGTACGGATTACTAGGATCCTGCTCCTCCTCCTCAGCGGACGGGATGGTCTTGCGCACGCGACAGGGGTTGCCCACGGCGACCGAGAACGGCGGGATATCCTTCGTGACGATGGAGCCGGCGCCGATGGTCGAGCCCTGGCCGATGGTGACGCCGGGCAGGATGACGACGTTACCGCCGATCCAGCAGTCGTCGCCGATCGTGACCGGGTGGCCGAACTCGACGAACTTGCGCCGCGACAGCACGCTGACGTCATGGCCGGCCGTGTAGATGTTGACGTTTGGGCCGAACTGCACACGGTCGCCGATGACGATCAGGCTGGTGTCGAGGGCAGTGAAGCTGGGATTTTTAGGTACAGAAGATTTAGACAAGTGAAAGAAGGGGAGGCCGTACTTGAAGTTGAAGAAGCAGTCGCGGCCGATGCTGATGTTGCAGCCGTAGTCCGGCATGAAGGGCGGCTCGATGAAGGTGCCGTCGCCGACCCGGCCGACGATCTTCTTCAGGAGCTCGAATCGCGTCTCGGCGATCTTTTCGTAGGGTACAGATTTGGCGTCCAGGTTGTTGTAGTCTTGTGCGACGCCGCGGGCGCGGTGGCGGCCTTCGAGGAGCTTCGGGACGTTCGGGTTGTATCTGGATGTGTCAATTTTGGACCATCAATCTGCGCTCTATATCCAAGGCGCGAGACAGTCTTAGGAAGTGTCGTAGACGTACAGCATGCCGGAGATCATGCGCTCGTACTCCTCGCACATAGGCACATGGTTCAAACCCCGGGCGATCTCAATGATCTCGGGTCGTTTGGCGGACGCAGCGACAGACATGGTGACGGTTTAGACGGTGATTGAGATAATCTGGAAACAAGAGAGCAACATGGCGTGTTATATTGTGGCAGGACTCCTATTTATCATTGGGATGATGGATTCATCGCGGGGTACCAACTCCGCAGAGGGGCATCGCGCCTCTCGATTCCCGTTCGGGAAATACTCCCAACTAGGTGGCCCCGTATGCGGCGGGCTTGGCGCCGACATTTCGCCGCTTTACCGCCCGGCATTTCATCGTGGCCTTGGTGCCATAACTTACTGGCGTGATTCATAGTGTTGCACAATGTTATGCACACAATCCTTAGCACATCAGCCACGAAGCAGCCTTAAAAGCCACACTTCACCGCGCCCTGCAGTGCCCGCTATACCCTGCTCTCCGAATTGGGGGGTACACTAGGGGCCCGAGTCCTCGGCAGGAATCGAGAACACAGTAAACAATAGGACATGCATCTCAGATACTACTATGTACCCGTCTCGCTTCCCTCTATATGCAAGATCTGCTCTTGAAAAGTTGACCTTTTTGTCTTTTATGCTAACCCTCATTTCTATAGAACAATTATACTGTGTTATTTGCATCATGTACTATCCCAGTGGAAGAATAGAGCAGGTATGTTGCGGTGCAGCCGGATTTTCTCTCGGCAGTGCTCTTACGGGACGATATACATCTATGGCCTCCCCAAGCATATAAATTGACTTGTGCCTGAGCACTTACCAACACAACAAATTATATTAGGTGTTCGTTATTACTCAGCACGCTGCTGAAACAAACCAGTATGAACAAACAACCCCTTGTGTCAGTTTCACCATCGATTATCGGTGTAAGCTACTATCTTTTATTAGAGAGTACTGCACGGTTGATTTGTGATAGGCCAAGAATAAGATATCTCCAAGTAGTACCAGGACTTCAATAGCCAAGTCCTTGCAAATGGGCTTCAATCTCTGATAAGATCAGATCAGACCTCTACCATTAAGTAAATGTATCAGAGCTCAGAGTAAGATTTCGTAGAAGAATAAATGCAAATAGCAAAAGTCGAAAAGTTGTTCCGAGAGCTCGCGCGAACAGGCAGCTCGACACGGCTACTTCGGCCTCTTCCGCGGCTACTCCACCGCTTCTCAAAGGCTACAACGGCTACTCCAGAAGCATACTGTGCGAGGAATTCACTTCTTGTCACCCAGCTCAAACTACAAAAGAACCCCTGGCCCCTTGACCATGGTTGAGTCCGGACATCGGGACTTAGTGATCGATCTCGACCCTGCTGACGCGGTCTGCTATGTTGTTGAGGCTTTTCTGCAAACTTGGTCATTTGGTTGTACTTGAGTTTTTCGACGCTAATCTTGCTTTTTTGGTGAAGTGCCCACAAAGCCGGTCACTCTTTAAAGGCCAGAAGGACAATGATTGTCTGACGCCGCGCAGGGCAATAGACAGGACAGGTCCTCAAGATAAGCTGCACCTCTTCCAACCAAACGTACACTTCCCTGGCTATGCTAAATGGAGTTAAAATCCGAGGCTCACCCCGATCTCCGGCCGGCGATGCCTCCGGTTTCCTGTTCTTGGTCCCGCGTGCCGCCCACTGCGCCACCAACGACGTGCAAGCTAACGGCCCCTTCCCTCAGACCAACCTGGCCGTGATAGTCAACTGGGTTGAGAAGGGTCTTAAGCCGGTCACGCTCAACGCGATTCACTTGGCCGGTGATTAAAAGGGCCAGAGTGCCGAGCTGTGCGCCTGGCCTCTCCGCCCCTTCTGGACCGGGAATGGCATCAAGTTCCACGGTGTGCATGACCAGGCCTCGCTCGACACTTGGAACTACACCTTCGACGCCTACAGATTTCCTCTTTACTAGGGACTTCATCTTCTTTCATGCTTCTGTCATCTTGACAGAAGCTGTGGGTGCATTTGTACATTAAGACAATTGGGCTTGACGTGTCTTGGCTCTCGTTCATCGGACCGTCCTCGCTGCCCTGCTTACTTTAATACAATCCATGCAGCGTGCTGCGCTTGTCTTCTATACTTTCCCGACCATCTATCAAAATCATACTAAACAATATATTGAATTTCATTTGCAGCATCGCTGCTATTAGCAACTACCCCAGTTTCTACAGAGTGTACCATTTTACCCAGCACAAGCCACTCGTAAGATTCCCTGCGAAGACAGTATCTTATCCTTATTAATTATAGACCAACCAGTGTATAAGGTAGTTGACGATCAGGCCAGCTCTACTTGCAATGAAATTCACCTCAACACGAGAATACTACACATGCACACACGCACTGAGCATTAAACCCAACTTGCATGAAGACTGATCATCCCCGGAGTCCGTATCCCACACTCTCAGGTACTGTTACCTCCCAGTTCATCTACTCAGTTCATCGACTCAAATCATCTACTCAAATCATCTACTCAAATCATCTAGTCAGATCAGACACCAACCCATCTGAAAATGGTGCTCATATACGGCATCTAACACACGCCGTTGTACATCTCTGCTTCTGAATGTAATGCTTTTACCTGTATAATGTCGTTCATAGACAAGGAAACTGGCATCTCAAAACTCGTTCAACTAGACAACTCTTGATTATTATACGCACTATGATACACTCACTGGGGTACAATTCTACCCGAGCAAAACCCGATGGAACGCTTTCAGTGTGAGACCCAGCGTGACTCAGCGCTACCACCAGCAATGCTCCCCCCACAACAACTCCACCAATACCTACATCTTCCGCGAAAGGGGACAATAAATCAAACCATAACAACCCCCCCAACAATAACAACAGCAGCAAGCATCACACCGCCCACACTCCCCGACGAGACGGCGGCACCACCAGACACCGACGACGAGGTCGGAGACGCAGAAGCAGAAGCACCCGCGCCAGCAGACGAGACACCAGTAACTCTCGCCCCGGCACTAGTTGCAGACTACAGTAACACGACATGTTAGCTCACTCAGATAATCCAGATAACCAATAACCTACTGAATTCGCCACAGCAGTAGCACTAGCAGTCGCAGACGAGGCGCTGGGCGTGGCGCTATCGCCGCACGCTTCGGCGGCGGACTTGACGTCGCTGCCGTAGTACTGCCAGATGTTGTAGGTTAGGGCGCATTTCAGGCAGTCGCTGAGCTCGGATTTGTAGGTCGAGTTGCTGCAGTAGGTTGCGTTGCTGCTGTCTTGGGATATGAGGATTACGCCGCCTGGTGATTCTGTTAGTTTGATGATGTAGTGTGGTTGTGGTGGTGGTTGTTGGGTGTTGGAGTAGGAGACGTACCGCAATCGGCATGGCATTCGTACAGAGGGCTGCCTGGTTCGATGGACTCCCGTCTGTACATGGGAAAGCTGGATGGGAAGCTCCATGCGAAGCTGGAGGTGAAGAGTGCTGCTACTGCAGCTAGGATGAGGATGACGCGCTGCATGATTGTGCGATAGTCTTTAAACCGAAGGGAGTAGCCGTTGATTGATGTGTCCAAGGAGGAAGGAAGGAATGGTTGCGAGGAGGACGGTTATAAGGTTGAGGATGGCACCTTATAATTAACAAGCTTAGCCTTCAACTCACGATCTCCGCTACACAGCCAAGGAAGGGACTGGTCGGACCACCTGCATCCCGACGTTTCCAGTAACCCACCCTGTCCGCTTTTCGGCGCTCCGCGAGATAGATTAACCTCGCAAGTATCGTCCATTATAGCCTTAGCGCGGTGACTAGCTTGAACGCCATGTGTGATGGGAAGTGGATCGCAGTAGGTTCGATACTACACCGATGGAATGGTTTTTTCCCAGAGGAATATCATGATCGCGCAGCAAGGACTGAATGCTCAATGCGGTGATAGTGGAATCGTATGGTATCTTCCATCTCTGGCAGGGTTTGTTGGAATTGCACTACCAGGTGCGTGTATTACATCATACTCTGTATCGAGCGTAGGAGAATGTCGGCGGTCGGAGGTTATCTCGGCTTTCTGAGCCAGAACAGGTGCTTGACTCAAAGAATTTACCCGGTTCCCATACTCTAAGACAAATCCTCGTGTAGACGAGCGAGGGTCTGTGGAAAGAGTTTGCTAGTGTATACCGAAGTGGTAAGGTCGGGGCAAAGCTTGCGGTCGCAGAGGCCAGCTCCGGTGTAGTGATCTAGCCGACAGGCTCGCATGGAGCGGCAAGAGCAATTGGTCAAGGCTTCTGCTGTGGTTAGACAAACATGACTAGCTGATCTAGTGCCTGCCTTGCTCGAATCCCAAGGCGGCAACTTGGCCAGGCAAAATCTCACCAGAAGTCAAAGTGCCGTGGTTGGGAGTTGGGCTGGATGGAAGGATGGGTCGGTGGCTGCTGACGGGTCCACTATTATCTTATCAGATTGAAAATCAGGGCACGCTAGCCACTTCGGCGCCCTCGTACGATCCCTCCATTGGTGCAGACTTCCATTTGACCCATCGCTTAATTTGTTCTCGGACATAATGCTTCGATTGGGACAAGAATGGTGCCGGTCAGGAGGAGACGGAAGGGCCAGGATCTTATCAATCGCATATGATCTGATGTCGGACTTTCCTCTTCCGGTTGGTGTGCTCTGGTTAGTAGTCGCGAAAGTAGCTCCCTGCGAGGTAGCACTGCAGGAGGAGTTCGCTGGTGCCAGCTCCACTTGTGTAGATTGGTCAAGCTAGGTCTGTGGTCAGTGACACACTTTGACTCTTCCCAGTTGCACATGCCTTGAGGCACTTGTTATCCACTGCGGACCCTATCACATGGGTTTTACCATAACCTCTCGAATCGCAGACTGTAGTCCTTCCATCCAACGCCGTTAGTGGGTGTAACATCTCCGAGACTAGTACCATGGGTGCTGTTTCTATAAAGACGGCCTTCTCGACCTGGATGGTCTTATCGCCAGCACATTATTCCTTCTGTATTCCAGAAATCTTCCCTTCTGCCCCAGAGACGAGGGCTCCGAGCAACCCTCTTATTCCTCCGCATTACCTCAAAATTCCCTTCCATGATGTCTCCCGTCACATTGTTCACCGGGCTGCTGGCTACAGCCAGCCTCTTAATCCCTGGCACCCTTGCCGCAGAAGCTAGCGACATGGGAGCAGCTGCGTTCATGTGGCCGCCAGACCGTGCCTGGGGCGCGGCGCAGGACCGAACAGCGCCCTGTGGCTCGTCAGCGGGAGTCACCAACCGCACCGAGTTCCCCCTCAGTACGCGATCCCCTTTCGTACACTCCGAGCCTTCAACTAACAAACTTAATCCCAGCCAACGGCGCCGTCGCGCTAGTAATCCAGACAGAATCCTACTCAGTCAACCTCGCGATCTCCTACGACAACGGTACGTCTCCCACTCTGTCTGAAAATCATCCAAATCTAATATATCCCTCCTAGACCCCACAAGCAACTCAGACTTCACGACCATCGTCTCAAGCAGCAACTTCCCGGACGTCGAACCAGGCCACGAATGCTACTCGGTGCCCAACCCGCCCTCGACCGTGACCTCAGGCTCCAACGCCACCCTGCAGCTGAAATACGTCTCTGACTTCGACAACGACGGCAACGAGACCTACTACGCCTGCGCGGATATCACCTACGTCCCGCTCTCCTCCTTCGATACCTCCATTCCCTGCTTCAATGTCTCGGAGGCTACGTCCAGTGATTCTTCGTCGTCCTCGTCGTCGACGTCGTCCTCGTCCTCGTCTTCGACTTCGACCGCATCAACAAATACAAATACATCCTCAAGCGGAGGCCTCTCAAAGGGCGCCATCGCAGGCGTCGTAGTCGGGACCGTCGTCGGTGCAGCGCTGGTGGGCGTCGCGGCTTTCATCGCGGGACGGTACTGGCAGAAGAAGGCGCAGCGGGAGCACGCCGTCGCGATGAATATGATGAATCCGGTGCAGAAGACGTGGTCGGCTTCTACGGCTGGACGGCAGGGTCAGGGGCAGACTGCTTGATGTGATTCTAAGCTGGTTCAAGGTGATGCGGGTGTATGCTGCCGTGTGATATGATGATGCTAGTGCTAGTAAAGACATGTGATCTGGAGGTATGGGCTGGTGATGACGATATGTTATGCTCGATGCAGTTGATGATTGATGTTGATGTTGCGGAGATTCGTTGGCTTTGATGGACAAGTGAATAGTGTTTATGAAAAGGAATTAGTCAATTACTACTGATTCATATTCTGAACGAGATCTGGCTGTAATTGCATGGTTTTGCTTAGACAGACATGACTAGTATCTGCTTTCGGCGAATATTGTAACGAGGCAGATGAGTGGTAGAATTTGTGTTCTGGATTGTGGTAAGCCATCTATAGTCACATACTTAGGATATATTTATGTAACTCGTCTAAGATACGTAATGACTGACCTTGTTGTATCCTCGGCAGTTATAGGGATGGAAGTGGCAATTCACGCAGATGGAAACAAAGGGTATGACTCTCGCGCAGGTTGTTCTCCCACGGTGGAATAGGACTCAGCTGAATGGGATTACGAGAAAGATGTAGAGATTAAATTCTTCGGTGTTTGAATTATAGACCCAAACTGTCAACGTCGATCATAACCGATTTTGATGATTTTCGTTTCTGTTTCAAAATTTAATGACATTAACATTAGTCTGTCAGAAGGTAAATACAAATTTATTGGCTTGTCTAGATTGCCGTGCACGCCATGTCCGAATTGAATGAATATATATAAGGATCGTAAAAGAAGTTTTGGGGCTGATCAAGCCCCACAAATAAGAAAGGGGGTGGGGTATATGTCTCCATCGACACACCCACCCTTAGAGAAGGCTGAAAATGACCGCGGTCAAGGCAGCAAGGAATGATCCCTGCGTGACACGATCACTGAATGAAGAAGAAGCGGCGTTCTTGGAGGTGGAGCCGGCGCTGAAGCCGGTGCTGGTGGCATCGGCGCCCGAGCTCGACTCGTAGTTGCTGGTGCCGCTGCTGCTGGAGGCGGTGGTCTGCTTGCCGGCGGTCATGTTGAGGCCCGTGTCCTTGAGGTTGTAGAGCACGGTGCTGTTGCCCGACACCAGGATCTGGTCGGACAGACCCGTGTCGCTGGTGTAGATGTACGACTTGTCGCCCTTGACGGTCGTGCCCTCGGGCGGGTTGTAGCACTCTACCGTGATCTCCTTGTACAGCGCGTAGTAGTAGCCGTACTTCACGATGTCCTCGCTATTCCAGTCGACCAGGCCCCCGCCCCATTCGATCGTGCCCTGGCCCGCCGTGGTGAGCCCGCTCGGCCACAGCGACATCTGCAGCCGCGACGGCGTCTGCGGGTACATGTAGACTCCGGAGGTCGCGTTGAGCGTCGAGTTCTTGGTCAGGGTGCGCATCACCACGCCGTCGACGAGCCATTCCAGCTTCTCGGGCGTCCAGTCGATCGTGTAGGTGTGCCATTCGCTGAACGTGTCGCCAGGGGAAACGGCGGCGTTGACCTCGTTGGTCCCTGGGCAGCAGAATCATGTTAGCGTATGCGCAGGGAAGCAAAGCAACAGGGACATACAGTTCTCAACGCCCTGGAAGTAAAAGTCGGTCTGCACACTCGACAGGTTGTACCCCACAAACTCGAAGTCAATCTCGTCCTTCACATCCGACATCAAGATGAACCCCGTAACGACACCTCCGCCGCGACTGCTCTTGATCTTGGCCGAGACCTTGCCGTACCAGATGTAGTTGTTCAGCGTCACCAGACTACCGGTCGTCTGGTTCGGCATCGTGAGCATCAGACTGCCGTTCTCAACCTTGGGGAATCCGCTCGTCGTCCACTCGTATTGCGAGGAATTTCCTAGGTACTGATCCCAGAGGATGGAGTCGTCCAGGTTGCTGAAGCTGTAGGTCTGGTTCTTGCAGATCGGCTCGGGTGTGCAGGAGTCAAGCGAGTACGACATCAGGGGGTCGCAGCTTCCCAGGCATGAACTTCCTACACCACATACTCCATCTAATGTGGCCGTTAGCTTGGAATTTGGGACAGATGTGAAGCTCGGATCGACTCACTGTAGCAGCAGGGTGCGCTCTCCGGGCACTTGTTGTCGACACTGCAGGTAGTAGAGGCCGTGGCGATCGCAGCCAGACTGGCCACGAGGAAGGCGGAGGAGACGTGGCGCATCGTTCCGAAGCACACTGCGTGCAACTGACTGTCGATGGGAGGGAAGAGTGGTGAGGGGAGGAGTTGTGAAACAGCGGCAACGTTTCAGTTCGGACAACGGTGCCTGGAGGCGGGGAAATCTATTATAATTATACGCATTGGGGGAGCGAGTCCACATGACATCAAAAATCCACGGGGCAGTGAACCAAGGAGGAAGCAGAATAGGGGAACGAGTGGGACACTGGGGTGGAGGCGTCAATCAGAATCTTTCTCGGGGACCTTGGGCCGAGCAAACGGAAATCCTCTATTGGGGGGGTCGGCAGTCGGACGGTCGTCGGAGTTGGCAGTGCAGTGCGAAGTGGAAACCATGTGGTCCGATAGATAGCTGATCCAAGGACAGGCACGCCGGAATCGTGACAGCGGGCGAGCAAGCGTGGGATAGGGCTAGCGGAGGGGAGGTGATCCCCTATCGCCATTGGCCAACTGCATGCTCAAGATAGCGGAGATTGAGAAACATCTCCACCGAAAAGGGAAGAAATTTCTACAGTTGGTGCTTCATTGGCTACGAGGGTGTTCCTGTGGTCAACCAGGGCTCCAGAAGAGTGGAAAATCACCACTCCAAGCAGGCAGGCAGCAAAATTCACAATTGGAGGTGCGTTCGGAGCAAACCCAACCAAGCTTTGCTAGCGTTCTGACTATCTCAGGGGTATTGCGTGTCCTGCCAGGGCTAACCGGGCACACCACACAAATCATACGGATCGACACCACCCCAGCAATGCAAATCAGCAGTCAGGTTTTTGAGATGTGTGGGAGTTCCAGAAAGTAGCTCAAGCAACAGTGAAGCACTATGAAAGCCAGCGCCACATGCAGTGCTTCTCTGCTTATGCAGAGAAATGTAAAGAAATGCGGTTGTGCCAAGCAATCTATCAAAAACACAGAATTTTCTCAAGTGGGTCAATGACGTAGCCCCTTTTCTTGGTGAATTCTTCCCAGATATTTCATTTCATGTCTTACTTGCCTCTGAAACAGTGTGTTTGACTGCTGCTCAGACCATCGTGCTTCCTCGACCTCGTTCCAACTTCTCCAACGGTGCTGATAAGGATCCGCCAACCTCGGTTGCCCAACCTGTTCGGGGTCCGGTGTTATGCATCCGATTTCTTCCCTGTATATGCACATTGCAAATTCCAGAATATGTTTATGGGATATGATTATTCGCTGAAACCCCTATCCGGTGGCTTGTCGACAGTGACTTACCTTCATTCTATTCGTCTGGAACCAATAATTCCCAAAGCTTAGTCAAAGCTTGCCCACAGATCTCCGAGGAGATTCCTCATCCCCAGATACCCTGTCATGTGGCTCTTGTCAAACAAGATCACAGCTCGTTCGGCTGCTTAGGCACCTGAGCATTTAAAAATAGTCTTAAATCCGAGATGAGTGGATTCGCACCGAGTTCCTCCTTCGGTCGGTATCTGTTAAAGATAAGGAGCAGGTGTATCCAACACAATCTGTTGCTGACAGGTGGAACTCGCTAGTCAACACCGCGATGGTATAAATGTAGACTATCAAGAAGTTGTCTCACTCGCCCACCGTTTGTCAGGGTCATCTTGTCGTCGTCTGATAATCCTGCGAGTCCGATCGATGTGCCGGGTGATAATCGGAAAACCGCTTGACGAGCACTGCCACCCGACAGAAAGTCCTGTTTGCACGGTCGGACTATCGCTTTTGTGCTTGTCTTCCGCTTTGCAAAGACTGGATTGCTCGTGGGTATGCCCTGCGCATCCCACAGGCTCCAAATCTGAGTCCATCAGGGCGCTATTCCCAAGGAGGAAGAGAGCTAATTTTACCTACCCGAGAGCCTTTCCGACTATTGATTTGCACCGATGCAGTTGGCTAAGCCCGCAAACTAAGCTCACTATTGACATCAGGAAGAGGCTTGCTGGACTAATTATATACTGTGAGAACTGAATTGTAAGACCTTCCAATGAATCGGAAATTAGATCGGGTTTTTTTACCCCTTGGGGTTGACTCCACCTGGGTTGTAAGCCATGACTAATCTCCGGATTACCCGAGATCGCCTGCACTTTTTAAGGGGGCAGGGGCTTGATCATCTGCGAACTGTCCAAGGTTTCCGATTGCTTGAATTGTATTCTCCAGAGATATGGAATGGCTATTGTACGAGAGAGGTTTGAAGTGGAGGAAGACTGAAAGCAAGCCATGAACCATCCCCTCACACGCCTGTCAAGGAAGAGATGGAAGAACTCGTGATCAGATTTTACCAGAAACCTGAGATGCATGTTTCTGCAGCCTTGTGCAAATCCAGCATCGTCGAAGAAAAAAATAATAAGGATTGGTTCGAGCAATAAGAACAGGGCTACGCTGAAATGTGCAGCCCGTAGACGAGTCAGAATAGGGCAAGTCGGCGAATCCGGGCCGACATTCGCCAACATGCAACCTCAACAATGGTGTCGACCAATCGGCCTGTGCGTGTGGCTTGGCGGCTTGCCTGAACATCTGCCCAGTGCCCAGTGATCATCTGAGATACAAGTTTCTGCTTGCAGATGATCTCTTGCCCGCAGTTCATCTGATCATGACGATTCGTGCTCAGTGTCCCATAGGTCGGAGCCCGTGATGGCTGATTTCGCCAAGCATCTCAGCTGAAAAAGATCTCAGCTGAATGACATAACGATCGTCTTTGTCGCCTGGTTTGACCTAGACGAATACTCTTGTTGGCTGTTTAGTATTTATCACGGGTAGCCTCGCGATTATGGATGCTCTGGAACTTACCCATCGAGAATTGTTCAAGGCAACTCCTCTAGGAACTCAGAATGACGATGAGTGTCGATATCTCATTCCGGCCGCTGCCCGCCCTCGTTGATGAGATCGCTGAGCAAGACCCAAACCGCGTATATGCCTACATAGCTATGCACAGTAGTGAGATACCCACAACATGGAGAGCCGTCACGTTCCATGACCTTGCTCGTTCCGTCGAGTATCTCTGCCACTGACTCCAGGATCACGTTGGTGTGCCGGACGGAAGAGAAAACCTGGCGTATGTCGGGGCGAACGACCTTCGTTATACGACGTTTGTCTTAGCCTGCGCCAAAACAAATCACAGGGTATGCCTTTACTGCTGATGTTTCTGCTCGATGGCCTGCTATCTCTGTCTATACATCGGATTCATACTGCTCTAGGCCTTGCTCCTCTCGCCAAGAACGTCCAAGGTGGAACTGCAGCATCTTATGAACTTGGCTGGATGTGACAAGTTCATCTATAGTAAGGAAAGAGAAGCTGCTCGCGCCACGGCTGCCCAGGCTAGCGATGGCTGGAGCTTCTGGCCGATCCCGGCCTTCGATGAGATGCTTTCGGAGCAACCCGTCAAGAAGTGGGTGGGCGTCTCGCCTCACATTTACACATTGGCGGACTGCTGTTTCTTCGTGCATACTTCTGGGACAACTGGTAGTCATTTGTATTAATCCAATACTACCGATGTATACTAACTCACAACTCCGAAGGCCTTCCCAAGCTGGTCCCCATCACCTACGGCTACTTGGACGCTATCGATCGGACCCCGGGCTATCCCACTCTGCCAGGTCGACGTATCAGGTACCCATCCCAGCTCCTACAGGGACGACCATATCTCGCCATGTTCCCATTCTTCCACGTGGCCGGAGTCATGCCAATCCTGCAGTCGATCTTCCACGCCAATCCATTCATTCTATGTCAAGACCAGCCGATGTCCGTGGAACGCATGGTAGCGACGATGGCCACATCCCGGCCAGCGGGCGCGATGCTGCCGCCCTCGGTGCTAGAGGAGCTGTCTCACGCGGGATGGAAGCGCAGCCGCACAGCGCATTCGCCACGGACTCGAACAAAAGAGTCTCCCGTTTCCATCCAACATCCCAGTCGACTACCTCCAAGCAAATCTAGACCTCCCAGACCTTGGACTATCAGCGGACATCTATCGAAACCTCCTCGAGAGCGTGAATCTCGTTATTCACAATGCCTGGGAAGTGAACTTCATCCAGCGCCTCGAAGCGTTCGAACACCCGCACATCCAGGGCACCAGACACTTGGTCGACTTCTGCCTAGCGAGCAGGAGCCACGCGCAACTACACTTCATATCTTCCATCTCGTCCGCCGGATCGTGGAGTGCAAAACACGACAGCCCTATCCCCGAGGAAATCATCCATGACCCTGAAGTTCCCCTGATTCAGGGATACGGACAATCGAAGTTCGTGGCGGAGCATATTTGCGCGCAGGTCGCTCTATCGTCTGGTCTGCCTGTAACTGTCTACCGTGTGGGGCAGATATGCGGGCCGACCGCAGGAACGGGGGTGTGGAATAAGAAGGAGTGGGTGCCCTCGTTGATTGAGACGTCGATTGCGTTGGGGTGTATTTCTGACTCGCTTGGGAGCGCGGCTGTTGATTGGATTCCGGTGGTATGTTACATCCTGTGGGAATATTTTTCTGGCACGAAGGTGTGGGATGCTAATGGTTGGACAGGACACTGCAGCGCGGATTATCACGGAGCTCATTGACTCTCGATCTAAGACCGGGGAAAGCGCCCTGGCTGTCTTTAATCTGGTTAATCCTCGGGTTAGTGAGTGGGAGGATGTGATCGCTCCGATTCAGAGTCGGTACGGGCTGGAGAAGGTTACGTTTGAAGACTGGATCGCACGGCTGCAAGGTATCAAAGGGACTGCAGAAGAAGATCTGGAGAAATTGCCTGCGTTGAAGATCTTGGAGTTCTATCAGGGTTTATCGAGATCAGATTCTGTTGAGTGTAGCCGTCCTGCTCGACCGTTTGTGACTGAGGCTGGAGAGCAGCAGAGTGCATCTTTCCGTGATTTGGAAGCGGTCACGTCGGGTTTGATGGGCTGTTGGTTGGATCGGTGGGGTTATGAAGATAAATGTTGCTGAGTTTGAGGGTTGGCTTGATATATGGTCATGCACAAAGCCTCGAACCAATGATACTTTGTTTCTCAAGTCTGTTTACATCTAGAAGTCGATTATATTTGTAGTGATTACTGTATTTTTAAAGTACGTATGTTCGCAACAACAAGGATCCTTTCCGCGTGTCCAAACATTCGTACCATTGCAATGAACCCCCATCATCATCTTTCTATGTCCAGACTGCGGGCAACCCGCAACCTACGACTGATAAGCCTTCACCGCAGCGGCAAACGCACTGGCAATCTGATCGAGCACCAAAGGCGCCAACGCCGCATACGTGGCCGACAACTTCTCCTGCACCGCCTTGCCCAGCTGCGTCGAAAAGAAGCTCAACTGCTGCAGGTCCCACTCCACCAGAAAACTCAGCGACGCGATGCCCAGCAACCCGTCGTCGAACTCAGGCTTCTTGGCGACGATGTTGGCCAGCGTGGAGGCGATGGCCGGCTCGAGCGCGATGAACGCCTGCGCCACGCTCAGCGACTCGGCGTCGGTGAAGTTGGCCGACCGCTTGGCTGCCACGATCGCCGCCTTCAGGTCGACTTCGAGTTGGATCGTCTCCGCTTGGATCTGCAGCGCTCGCAGCGAGCCCTCGATTCCGCCTGGGTAGGCGCTGACGGTCTTGTTCAGGGTGGTGAGCTGGGTGGAGAGCTTGGTCACGGCTGCGAGGACGGTGGGGGCGTCGCGCTTGGTTGTTACTGGGGGTGAGGTTGCGGACGCGAAGAGGGTGGTGGTGAGGAGGGTGAGGAGGAGGAGTGGCAACTTGAGCATGAGCATCTTGGCGGCCGTTTGTGTGTTCGTGCGTTGCGCTAATTTTGGTGGAGAGGGAGGAAGACTTCACTCAAGGCACGAGGGACGAGATCGTGCGTTAGCCCGCGCGAGCATGCACGACAGGCCCCTTACTTATATCGAATTTCGCTTGCAAGAATGCCATTGCCTTTTCTTGACCCCTCTTCCATCGGACAGGGCTCATGATTGCACTAGGCCGTCGCTCGTCATCTCCAAAACTCAGCCCAAGCCACGAGTCAACACCTCGGACATCACTCGCCACCACAATAAGCTGCATCTCACTGCAGCCTCGTCCATCATCGTCTCGAACAGGTACCTTTCCTGTGCGGCAGCAGTGCCGATCCAGGGTCCCGCGCAGGGGCCGTCGCGATTGACATGGCGGGTTTCCTAATCGGAACAAATTTAATATGTGATAGATGTGACATTCACCACACCCCGCAGCAGTAGTCTTGGGTCGAGGCTTGTGTTGGCTGACATGTGCCTCGGGAATGGCCAATTGAGTTATGTTCCTGCAACTGCGCGATCGCTTCATTTGGGGTGTGGCATGTGCTTCCGAGGTACAGGATTTCCGTCTGCGGTGCGAAGCGGGATATATATTCTCGAACGGGGGTGGCTGCTTACTACCCAATGATTGTCGGAAGAGTGTTAGTTGTGAGCAAAGTATATGACTCGACATCATATATCATCCCTCGCAAGGGGAAATTGCAAAGCGGAGCCCTACGCTGAGCCATGACCCGTCAGCGGCAACAGAAGTATGTAAAGCGCCCTTCGATTAACTCAGTGGGACTGTCAAAGCACAGACAGGCACATAAGCTATGGTATATCTTGGAAACATGGTAGATTGACCTGGTACTGACTGAAAGGAATAAAGCACTGGCAAACCAGCATTGATATTGTAGAGAGGTTGGTGGTACAGCACTGGACAGTTTTGCAGCCCTACTCAAGTTTTATTCTTCATCATCCATGGTACCCTCAATTAGCATCTAAGCTTTAGAGCCAGGTATAATGTCTGATCTTGCGTCCATAATCTGATTTGCTCACCAATGGCTCTCGACAAGTCGCTCTAGCTATGTGTTAGCATGGCTCTGATTTTGTTTGCATTGTTTGTATCTGTGCCTTTTTTTTGCTGCCTTGCTGCCTTGCTGCCTTGGTTGCTCTGGTTGCCTGGTTGCCTGCATATCTTAGCCTGACACGTCAGTCATCCCACTCTCTTCCTTCCACCCAATCACTGGAAAGCGCCCAACAAGATAGTCAGTGTATAAGGCCTGGTTTCTCTAGATACCGCAGAAATGAAGCGATCGCGCTCTCTTTCTCCTATAATCTCCTCGAAACGATATAGTCTCACGCAAGAGGCTCTCGAGAAGCATAATCAAAATACACATATCGACCTGTTCCCAGGTGCACCAAGACTTCCTCCTTCTTCCACACGCTCGTCCTCACAGCGTTCTCGGTCAAGTAGCCCATCTCGACTCAGTGAGACACAATATCGCAATGGTCCCCTCAAGCGCGCCAAAATATACATCGACGAGGAAAGCCCCACGGACATCGTTGATTATGCCATCAATCGAGCCTTTCATTCGCTACACGACAACGACGATTCCCCACTTCCTGCCTCAGAGAAGCTTTGGAGTAAGTCCAAGGAACTTGTCCGGAACTCTTCAGGGGAAGCCGAATGGACACAAGCCTTATATGCGGTGATTGACGATATAAGACCCACAGGGCTCAAGGTTGTAATCAACCGAGGTATGTAGGCTCCCAATTGCTTTAGCATCCGATATCCTGGGCTCTGAGAGGCTTGGTGCTGAGTAGTATCAAAAGACTGGAATGAAGATGTAAAGCCGCCGGTCAACAACCCTCTTCCCATGATCCCGCATAAACGCAACCAGCCTGGTCAGCTTCTGCCGGAAACTCTTCGCGAGGGGACCCCGGATCCAGCCGTCCCTGCCATTCCTCTGTTCAAACTGAAGAATCCTCGCCCGGATATCTGTATTGGCCTATCCGATGACAGCCTAGCACGAGCCCTCGAGGATCTCGGCGTCCCTCAATTCTTCTTACAGGACCTGCAACTTGCATCCACTCTGATCAGTGACCCGCACACCACTCCCTTGGAACTCCGATTCCCCTTTCTGATCGTGGAAGCAAAGTCCGGCGCCACCGGCGGGAATCTTTACCAGGCACAGAATCAAGCTGCGGTCAGCGGCGCCTCCGCGCTTCAGATCTTGCAAAGCCTGGCCGATCTCCAAGCGGCCCAGCGGTTGGATGAGGGCAGCCGGAACAGCAACCCCAATCCCACAGAGTCAGCCCCAGGGCTTCCAAGAGCTCCGCCTCCGCCGAATATCGTCTTCTCCATCACCATGGAGGGCCCCATCCACGAACTATGGCTCCACTTCCAGAAACCGCGGGAGAAGACTTTCTCCATGGTCTGTTTGGGGTCCTGGAGGACCACCCTCAGGGATAGTTCGAGGGATCTGGTACGCCATCTCCGGGCCGTACTGCGATGGGGCAGTGGTGAGTTTCGGGAGGGTATTATCAATACCCTCCGGGCTTACAATGAGATGCTCACCTCAGCTTGAAGAATAAGACCCAGGTAGTCTTGGCTCGTAGCAAGAATATGCTCCACGAGCAACCCCTTGCTCTGTCCATTTGAGTTAACGGAAAAGGCCATGATTCACAGCCATGGGTCTTAGCTTGCTTTGACGTACCACCTGGCATACAGCGGTTTCCTTGCAAGATAAATACAGTACCATAAAGATTAGTAATCTTACTGCAGATAGCCAGAGTTGATTATAATATAATTATTAATGTGATAGATATAATTTTTCCGGGTTTCTTTCATTGTGATTTATTTCCATTCATGATTGGTTGAATTACTATGCTAGAATCCCTAGTATAAGTCGAAGGGAATAGTATACAATAAGATATTTCAAAGGTATACATAGATAAAAACCCGCCAAATCCCTCCCATAGATATTCTCACCATAACATGCAGTATCTTTGGAAAGCACTGGCTACAAGGTAGGATAACAGAGAAACAGCTACGGAAGCCAATAATAACGAGATGTGTGAGACAAGTTGCGAATGCTAGGTGTAGAGGTATCCCATTATGAAAATTGTGACCATCCCCCGGGATTGATCATTATGTTGCCTGTGAGTAGAGCTAAACATTGCTAGATAGGTTTGCTAGCTGCTGTACGAAGTCCTTACAGTAATCTGATGGTGAGACTTCCCTATCTTTATACTATTTCAAATATACTGGCACTGTTGAAGGTGCTAGGCTATGGACCAACGCTACATCATCTACGTCCTCCAAACCGTCCTAACCACTTCTATCCGAGATAGACCCTCAACTCTATCGATTTTTTATATCTACCGGCACCATTCTAATCTACCTTCCCAACTAGCGCAGCCAGTGAATCATGCTCCATAATCACATTCTAAGAACCTCACAAGCCAATCAGTCTACCCAACAAACACACCCCACTCTAGACCCAATCACTACTCCAACGGGAACCCATACCCGACCAGGAAAGCCGGCTCATCAATACTATGATGCTGGTAACTACGCGCACTATTAGTTCCAACCCCGCACCCTAGCTGAATGAGCTACATACCTGAGAACACCCACAGCCCCGGGCTCCAACATCATAGACAAGGGAAATTCCATGGGATAGCCGAGCCAGCGCTTGGTGAAGGCGCGCAGGGTATGGCCATGGGCAATGAGAACGACATCGGCGGGCTGCTCACCGTGCATGTTACCGCGGTGGAGGGCGCGAATTTCTTCAATCAGACTGTCGATGCGCGCCGTGACGTCTTCGGGTGATCTGTACACGTTAGCCCACCTCACTCCTCTCTCATCCCCACTTCCCCCAAGAGAAAGAGATACATACTCTCCGCCCGGACCCTCACACCCATCCCTCCAGATATCCCACTCCCGCTCCGCATCAAGCCCATGCTCCTTCCGCAGCGCGCGGATCTCCTTAGTCAACAGCCCCTCGTAGAGCCCATACCCCCACTCCGCCAACCGCTCATCCCCATCCTGCACCTTGCCCGCCGCCCGCAGCGCCGCCCGATCCGCCTCGGGAAACGCCAGCTCGAACGTGTGCGCCGCCCGCCGCCGCGGGCTCACAAACACCCGCGCCAGTTTCCGCTCCGGGTCGATCAGCTTCCCCGCCCCCACCAGGATCTTGCCTGACGCTGTTACCTGCGCGATTCCCGAGGCTGTGAGCTCGATCTCCGAAGTCCCTGTATATCGGCCGCTTTTGGACCACTCGGTTTCTCCTGTTGATTGTTAGATCGTCTGATTATGGGGTTCGGGTGGATGGATATTGGGGATTGGGGTTTTGGGATGGGGATGAGGGGTTGACTACGGTGAGGGCAGAGACTACAGCAGTGGGAGGCTTACCGTGGCGGTAGAGAAAAACTCGCGGCGTGCCGGCGTCTTTATCAGGCATCTTGTTTCTACACTAGGCAGTGTTCTATCTTGTGATCAGTCTGGTGGTTGTTCACGTCGTTGCAGTGGGTTGGATTCGCGGAGGGAGAGATTGGTTGACGCCATTGATTGAGTGTTTGTTGGGTTTGCTTTGGTTGGTTGGTGGGGGTTTATGTAATACTCCGATACTTCACCGGTGGTTGTTTGGGTACTAGCTTGCTACTAAACTGGATTTCTGCAGAAATCAATTAACTTTCTCTTTCTGCTTTAGATTAAACTTGGTGCTGCTTTTTGCTTACTAAGTAGCCTAGGATAATAGAAGAAGTATAAAAATATATATTCTAAGTAATTTTTAAGTAATCCCAGATTATGTTAGGAATAAATACTAGAGAAGTAATTATTATCTTAACTACTTATGTCATGGTTAACCCGTGTAACCGAGTGGTTACCGTGACGGAATACCCATGCCTTAGTTATGAAATAGTTGTGATATTAATAATTTAGTAGAATCTATATCTTAAATATCCAGGCCTTATTATATTCTAGGAAGATAAGGATTAGTCTATATTTATATAATACTAGTACTTTAATTCTATATTTAATTAATCTTTTTTTTTTATAATTCTAATCTTTTTTTTTAGTTACCTGTAGAAGAAGAGTATAGGATATTATTTTAATAATTATATTTTAAAAGTAATTTAGAATTAGAAACTTTTTCTATAAATACTAGATCTTCTACTCTAGCTACTTATAACTTATTAATAAAGAATCTTATTATAATATAAAATACTATTAATAGATTTTAAAATTATTAATAGCTACAGTAGTAAGCTACTAAATTAAAATAAGAGATTTAATAATATAATATTAATTTTATACTAAATTATTAGCAGAAGACTTTATTATCTTTAAATAATTTAAAATTAGATATTAAAATTAAGAATATTTCTTAATTTAAACTATTTTTTAATATCTAAAAGTAATAGAAATAATTCTATAATTTAAATTATAATTTTTAAAAAATATCTTCTAAATTTAATACTGATTATTAAAAAATTCTTGAAGTTATTAATTATATAAGTATTATTTATTAATAAAAATAATATTAATATCTTAAAAAATTATCTTTAGAATAAAAGAAGTTTATTAATTATTTATAATTTTTTTTTATTAAATAAACTCTTTTTTTTATAAGAAATACTACTATATTTAAATTAGATATAATAAATTAATTTAAATAAGTATAGTAATAAAATAATTAAAATTTATATAAATTTTATATTTATTTTAATATACTAGAATAGTATTTTTTTAAAGTAATAAAAAAAAATAAAATTTTATCTTTTTTATTAAATTATTTTCTAATTTTAGCTAATATATTAAAGAATATATTTATTAATTATCTAAAGAATATAATAAGATAGTATTAGTTATTATTTATTATTAAAATCTATATTTATAACAGTAAAAATAAAAGTAAAAATAAAAAAATCTAAATATATTATAAAAATAATTTTACTTTAATAAAGAAATATAAAGATCTCTAAGATTTTATATTTTTAATTAGATTTAAAAATAATTATATTATTATTTATATAATAGTATTAAATATTTTATAAACTAGTATTCTAAAAAGAATAAAAAACTTAATTAAATCTAGAGATTATAAACTAAAAAAATTAATTTAAAAAATTAATTAAAATTAGAGTTTTATCTTTTATTCTAGTCTAATTTTTTAAGATAAATATAATTAATAGAATCTTAGTATTTATATAAGTATTAAATATTAATAAAATATTTATAGATATAAATACTAGTACTAAATATAATATTATTAATATTTAATTTATATAATATTCTTTTTTTATTAAAACTTTACTATAATCTGTAAGGACTAATATTCTTATAATCTTTGTAATAAACTTATTATAAAGAAATATCAACTACCCCTATAAAAATAAAATAAGAGATTATATAAGAAACTAGGTAAATAACTATAACTATTATATAAATAACAGTTATCTATAAAAATAAGAAACTAGTAATAATATCTTAAAATAATATAATACTATTTTTAATTCTTATAAGAAATATTTATTTATTATACTATTTTATTTTTTAATTCTTATAATTTTATTACTTATATCCTATAAAATAGTCTAGTAAGTAATATCTAGATATTATATATAAAATTAAAATAAAAAAAATTCTTAGATATTATTATAAAAAATATAGTTTTTATAAAAAATAATTTCTCTATAAAAAAAAATATAATCTTATATTTAAATACTTTATAAATAACTAAATTTACTTTAATAAATTATAAAACTATAATAAGAACTAGGGATTAATCCTATAAAAAAATATCTATAAATAAATCTAGATAACTTAGATTTTAGTACCACGGAGGTTAAGAAAATAAATATATAAATTAATCTATTTATAAATAAGGATTATTATAGTATCTGTAATTATATTATTTATTATATATTTATTATTTAATAGAAGTTAACTATAGAAATAAATAATTAAACTAAAAATTAAAAAATATAGATTATAATAATTTATTTAAATTATATATTAAATAATTTATAAAAAGATAGGGCAGCAGAATTATATTATAAAAAAAAATAAATTAATTTTTATAAATTCTTTAAACTATAATTAAAGAATTCTATAAACTATTTATAAAAAATATAATTAAAAATTCTAAAAATAAAGTTCTATAAAAATAAATAAGAATTTATATATCTCTAATAGTAGAAAAAAATAAAAAGTAAATTTAGTTATAAAATATAGAATTTAGATACTATATAATTTTATTTCTTTTTTAAATTATTTTATTCTGTAGTTAAGAGAAAAATTTATAAGTAACTAAATTTTCTTATTTTAAAATAAAACTTTATTATATTACTTATAAGATTATATTTAATTTTAAATTAGTAATATAAATAATATAAGAAAAAGAGTCTTATAAATAAAATCTAGAGATTAGAAAATAATAAATTAAATTATATAAAAGTAATATTAGATTAACTAAAAATAAAATACTTATAAGTAGTCTTAATAAATAAAAAAATTAATTATATAAAAATAAACTAGTAATAGAATTAGTTATAGAAATCTATTAAAATTATAATATATATATTTAAAAGATCTATAGAACTAAAAATATATTTTAAGTATAATAAAACTAATTATTTTATAAAGAAATATAGAATAAATAAAATATCTATAAAATAATTAACTAGCTAAATTATAGTATTATTACTAGACTAAATTAAACTTATAATATATTTAAATTTATATTTATATAATAGATCTATTCCAGAGAATAAAGAAAATTTTTTTATAAAAATAAAGATAATAATTAATATTAGTATAAAAATTAATCTTATATTTATAATACTTATAAAATAAATTAACTAGTTAATTATATTTATAAAAATCTTAGTAAAAGATATTAGTAAAAATATAATATAATTAAAAGAAATTATAATATTTATAATTATACTAGAAAATATAAAAGAGTATTATAAAAAATAAAGAGATCTTATAATTATAATATTTATAATAAATAAAATAATCTTAGAAATATTATAAATTAGAAAATAATAATTACTTACAGAGTTCTATAAATATAAGTTAAAGTTTTATAAAAAAGAGAATTAAGAATATTATAGATTATAATAATCTAGATTAAATAAAAAAAATCTATAAGAAACTAAATCTTTATCTAGTAATAATATAATAAGTTTATAAAATAATTAAAAATTAGATAATACTAGAATAATATTTAAAATACTATAAAGTATTTATAGAGAAAAAGATAATAAATCTATTATTATAAAAATTAAAAATAAATCTAGAGATAAATCTCTGTAAAAAATTTAAATTAAAAATAAAATAAATTTATAAAATATTTTTTATAGAAAAAAAAATCCTGTAAAATTATCTGTAAGAAATATTTATAAAAAAATAAATAAAATATTTTAAATTATTAATAGAAGTACTAGTTCTTTTTATAGAAAAAAAAAATAATAATTTATAAATATATATAAATTATTATAAATTAAATAAGTAGATAATTAAGAATATCTATCTACTATTATAAATTAATAAATATATTAAGTAATTTATAAAAATTTAATAATTTATATAATTAGATCTCTGTAAAGCTTACTATTAAATAAAGATTATAATAAAATATAAATAGAAAATAATCTTTTATATAAAATATAAATTATTTAAATATTTTATTATACTATTTAAATTTATAAATATATTTATAAAGTTTTAGAACTTTATAAATTCTTTATTTATAGAATATCTAGATAATTTTATAATTATTTACTTAGATAATATTATTATTTATTTACAGAATTTAAAATTATATAAGAAATAGATTTATAAGATTTTAAGAATTTTATAAAAGATAAATTTATATATAAAATTAAATAAGTATATCTTTATAATTATAAAGATTAACTTTCTTAAATTCTTAATTAATTATAAGAATATTTATATAGAATTAGAAAAAATTATTATTATTTATAATTAGCTAGAGTTATAAAGTATAAAAAATATCCTAAAATTTATTAAATTTATAAACTAGTATAGATATTTTATTAAATAATATTTATAAATTATTATAATAATTATAGACCTAATAAAAATATCTTATAAAAAAAAGAAAAAAAAATTAGATATAGTTTTTTAATTCTTAAAATTTATAAAAATTTCTAAAAACTTAAGAATATATTTATAAAGAATATAATAATAATATACTTCTAAAAAAAAAATTTATAAAGATAAAAATAGATACCTCTAGATTTATAATTAGTAGTATACTATTATAGAAGAATTATAAAAAAAATAAAAATTAATAACTTTTTATTTATAGAAAATAATTTAAATTAAATAGAACTATAATATCTATAATTAAAAGTTATTTATAATAATAAAATTTTTTAAAAAATAAAGATATTAGCTAAAAAATATAAAATATTTAATTAAAATAATTACTAATTATAAGAGTTTATAATATTTTATAATAAATAAAAAACTTTTATAGAAATAAATTTACTAGATATAATA